TATTTCAGAAGGCGGGCCTTCATTTGATACAGGAACTATTCGAGCCGTTCATGCCAGACTGGGGAGAGAGGTGTCGTAATAATGTAAAATATGTGGAAAATAATGTGTTTTTCGAACAACCTAGTATAAGAGTCTGTTCTAGTACATCCCCCAAAACAAAATCAAGACTTTGTAAAAGAGCATAATAGGACCCCTTTAAAGTATATTTTCTTTTTTTTTTAATAATTTCAAATATCAGTATTCAACGTTTTATATTTAAAATATCAAAACAGTGTTAATGCATTTGTAACTGCAGGTTAAATGCATTAATGTCCTGCATTAAACAGTGTGTAAATGCATCTAAATGCCACTTCTAATGCAGCTTCTGTGTTTTCTCTGCATTGCAAAGGTTAATTTTGTCAATACTGATTTAATTTGCTCGATAACAGCCCAAATGACTTATTCTAATTGACTGTTTCAATTTAAGAATTTGACTGAAAAGATGATGCACACTTTTAGAAAAAAGGCCTTTATAAAGGTAAAAATACCCATAAAAGGTAAAAAATCAATTTAAACTTATTGAAAAAGATTAATTTCTATCACTGCTGTGAACTGATCACCACACAGAAAGGTGGCTGACAGAGTCAGCTGTCCACGGTAGTCCTTAAGATATCAGCACAATAACACACTCATCAAAATATCGTCTAATTATCATTATCGATAAAATCCCAGAAAATATTGAGATATATTTTTTGTCAATATCGAACACCCCTAATATATTTAATGTTTTGTTTAGAAAAAAAAAAATAATAATAAATATGAGAAGTGCCCTTTTTTTCCACTTGAGCCCCTGCCCCTCAAAATGTCTGTGCACGTCCCTGCTAAAGAAGGTTATTGTAAAGTGTTACCCAATTATGTTTTAGTGTCTTCTGGTAAGTGTTTCTCTGTCTGTAAGATGAAGCTGAAAACATACTGAGGTCACTAAAAGATTGTATGTATCACTTACCCAGTAAAAGCAACAGACTCTTGTAGAATGTTCTCATGTTCATTTTAGGCAATTTGTGATTCTTTCTGCTTTCATTTGAGGATGTTTGAATAAATGTTGTTCCTGGGAGAAACACATCAGTTCAACTTTATCTCAGAGTCACATTATCCAATTGCTCCTCCCACTTTTCTCTCCGACTGGAGCTGGAAAAATGTTCACACACACACACACGCACGCACGCACCCACGCAAGCACACACACACACACACACACACCATCTTGTAGCAACAAAACAAGTGAACACATTTTTACTGAAAACAATGATACCTTGAAACTTCAGTTTAGTTATTAATGATAGCAAAATGCCAATGCTTGTCAATATTTTTACAACCATCTCTTTGGCGGACATTTATGACTATCCAAGGTATAAGTGTCATGTTGACATGCTTACATTAAATACTAGGTGTGAATATCATTGGGTACCTATAACCAGAGCTGGATAGATTACTTACAAAATGTAGCATGTTACTGATTACAGATTACATAATGAAAACCGTAGTTAGTAACAATCCAGGTTAATCGTTTTAGATAATGTAATCTGACTGTTTTAGATTACATTTAGATTTATTTTTTATTAATCAAACTTGTTTTACACTTACTATTTAACATTTACACTTACATTATTGATATAAAAACAAAGAGAAAGAAAATGTTCACATTTGTTGACATCACATTAGTGAGTAGCAGATAGTTGATAAAAAGGTAATAATTCATTATATCATCAAAATATAAATAAATAAACAGTAAAATTATAAATATTTTATTTGTTTACCTGCATGTCAATCTGACCATAATATCAAATGTTTGGGAATCCCTGCATTACATAAACATACATTAATAAACACGAAAACAACAATGACATTATAGTCAAAGTGTATGGGATTTTTAGAAAGTAAAGTTTAAATCACACCAATATTCCTGACTTGATTTTTAGTTATTTGACCCCTAGAATCAAGCTATGCATTTACCTTGAGAAGTTGATCTTTGCTTCCAAAACACAGTGACTTCAGATTTATTTTTGTTTAACTGAAGAAAGTTTTGGCACAGCCAGCTGTTAATTTCATCAATGCATTGGCAGAGGGAGTCAATGGCTACCTCATTTGGTAGTCATTTGGCGATAGAGCTAGGCAACTTGTGTATCATCTGCATAGCAAACTGCATGGCAGTTTGGTTCTTTCTCATTTGACTTAGAGGGAGCATATACAGGCTGAACAAGAGTGTCACCAGAATTGAGCCATGTGGGACTTTGCATGTCATGGACATCCACCTTTTGTAGATTCCAAAAGAAAAGTTTCTTAAGAAACAGAATCTAAAATCATATAAAGATGTCTGTAACTCAAGCAGTATTACAGTTATGCACATTTTGGAAAAAATAATATTTATGCCACTCAAACAGGTATGTCCTTGTTTTGATAGAAGGAAACAAGATGCATTTCTAGTTTCAACATTACTTATTCTTCACACATTCTGCTTTAAATACAATAAGTATTAGCTGTATACAAAGTGACCAACATTTGGTTTTCAACCACTGAAAATGGGTATTATTTAACAATCTGAATATGGAGCCTCATTGAGATCCCCATATCTCTGGGACTGAAAGATGTAGGGCCTTGAAAATGAAGATTACAAAAGAAAGTGTTTTTTTTTTTTTTTTTTTTAAGAACTACAATCTCAAACCATATTGCAATTGACTTTAATACTCATGGCACTCAGACAGGTATGTTCAATGCAGTTGCTTCTACATAAGAAAACAAGATGCATTTCTAGTTTAAACATTATTTATTCTTCAGACATTCCTCTTTAAAAGAAAATAACTATCATGTTTTTGCAAAGTGACCCACATTTGGTTTTTGACCATTGGAAATGTGTGCAATTTAACAATTTACTCTTGGAGCCATGTTGCAATTCCATTATCTCTGGAACAGAACCATATAGGGCCTTAAAAATGAGCATGCCAAATAGGAAGTTTGTTGAGACCCAATATCTAAATGGGCATTAAGATATATTTAATGTTCTTTGAGTTACAGGCCTGCAAACTTTGGAAAAAAACTGCTCTTTCCCCATTTTCGAATGGTCACCATTGGCACATAATGCAACAAAGATAGCTAAAGTCAACAGATTTTACTAACAGACCTACCAATCTCTTTGTAAAAAATAACATTATGATGCTGTCATCTTTCTAAAGTCAATTTTACCCCCCTGTAATTTGGCTCTTAATCTCGGGTGAAAATTGCCATTTCAACCCCCCCTTTACAAAATAGTGGTTTACTCAGTAAATATGCATCCATGACATTTAATATGTTGGCTTTCATTACTATACATGTTTATCTTTCTTCAGAAAGAATATTGGCAAAATCAAAAATTTGAGCCAAGGATCTCTGGTTGAGTTGACATGGAATGACCCTGCTGTGCTGTTGGGAAATGTCTGTGCCTGTTGCTGCTGTATTTATTTATTTATTTATTTTTGTTAATTTGGCGACTGTATTGAATGAATTCCTGGGGTACTGCCATTGTGTATATAATACATAATCATTTAATCCATTAAAAAGTAACTTTAATCTTATTATGAGCATTTTAAAATGTAATACTGTATACTCTAATTATAAGTACTTAATATTTGAAATCACACTGCGTAATCCAGATTACATGTAATCAGTTGCTACCCGCCAAACTGGATCGGTTTATCAGATGGCTTTTATCACCTCTTCTGAGAGAAAACTGAGGAACAACAGTCCTGAACTACATTAAGGTTTGTATTCACTTTTGTATTAAAATTAATTGCATCACATTTTTACTTAAATTCTCACATTATTCCATGTTGTTCTAACCTGTATGACCTTTTTTCTTTCCCGTCGTAAAGACTTCACAAGATCACAAGACTTTTGCATTTTTTTTTCATTTTCAAGCTCCACCTACATTAATCTGCCTCAAATCTCACTTGCTTATTAAAAAAAAATATTTCTTGCCTCTGATGAACTTTTGTGCAGTTCGTTTGACTATGCATACATTTATTTTGCCTATGTAAATAATGTCGTTTTTTTTTTCTTCTTGGAAATAAGCTGCTGATGGGGATGACTGAAATGTGACGTTGATGGAACAAAACCAGTGAAGTCAGTGATTCCATTCAGTCCAAAACATTTAGTTGATACACTTGTAAACTGATCTACTAAAGCAGTAGTTTCATTAGTGCCACAAAGTTTTTTTTTTCATTCTAAAGTCAGTGATGGTGCAATGCATTTGACCACAGTTCAATCATTCATTATTAATATGTTGCCCACTCAAAATCATGTTAGACATTGATCTTAGGTTGAATTATTTTTCACTTTTCATCTGATTTTAATTTTAAATGCCGTTCTGAAGACATCCAAGTACATAATTTTGTGTGTATTTAATATCTAAAAGTGTCTTCCATTTAAACGTGCCTTCTATTTTTAGTGTTTAGAAGATAAAATGTTCAGACGTTTGACTGATTCAAAAGTATAATAATATGGAATATTTAAGCTTTCAGTATAGTTTTACCAGTACATAAATCTAACTGTCTGCTGATATTAAACAGTGAATCTCCTATTCTCTCCTGTAGAGCATCTAGGTTCTATTTAAAGTCTTTCTTTTTGCAATATTTACGAAACCCTCCTTAAGAAAAATAAATTTTGTAAATAGAACAAATATTAGACAAGAGTTTAACATCAAAAATAAATACTACAGTAATTGACGTCCAACACGATACAATAGCTGTTGACATCATTGACTTCACCAACAATTTACTTCACCTTAACCACAAAAAGTAACACAATCGTGAGCATGAAAAGAAAAAAAAAAGTCTTTCCAGTCTGTTCCTACTTAAGTTTTGTCACAATCTGCTGCTACTGTGAAGGAGCAAGGAGCGAAGGAGTGTGGAGACGTAGTGGAATTTGTGAAGATAGTCTTTATTCATTCAAAACTACAAGGAACACACACGTAGCACCAGGAATGACATTTATGACAGGACGAAGGACTCAGAAAAACACAGGGCTTATATTGGGATCTAAACGAGGAAATTAACAAGAAACACCTGGAATCAATATCACAATCAGACATGAGGGGAAAACTAGGACATGGAACACGTGGGGGAGGAAAACAAACACAAAACAGTCCATAGGCGTGACAAGTTTATTATTAGCTGTAGAAACTCCAGAGGCAGTAGATGAAGTGGTGTTCAATGATGCAGTGACATTAGATGCAGTGGTGTTCGGGGCTGTAGTGGGTATTCCCAGGTGAAAAAAGGTGCACTAAAATACACTTTATTTCAGCAGACTTCCATAATGTACTTAAAGTGCTCTATTTTCACATGCTAATTTTGTACTTAAAATACAAAAAATATTCTTTAGTACTTCTTAAGATAATCTTAAGTACATCTGTGCTATTTTTAGACACCATGAATATGAACTAAATGTGCTTTTAACATATTATCTCTGTATTAAAACCATGTATTTAGTTACCACTTGTGGTACACTTGAACCCATCTCTCATACACTTTTTAAATATACTAATCAGACATAGCAAATAGACTTATGAATTAATTAAAATATAAGAATAATATATAATAAATATATATCTGCATCTGAGGTGGCATGTACAGTGCTGTGAGAATGTCTGTTTTAGTAAATGTTACAGTAAATTTTAAATGGCTTTTATGCATTATTACAACTTTACACAGATTTTAGAAGCAAACATTTATCTGCATTTCCTCTTGTGGAGAGGAAATAGCAGGAACCTTATGCACCTGGTTTACAGGAAGGTGGAGCGGAGAAACATGCCCTATCCCTCCTGCAGTTATCTCTGCCAGGAATATCCTGCAGTGAACAAGAAGTCAAATTTAACTGAAAATCAAACACAAATGCTGGGTATACTAGATAATTGCAAAAGTATATATATATATATATATATATATATATATCATTTAAAAGCAACTTTCACTTAAGCAGTCAGATTCTTATCTGTTCCATTTTTAAACAAGAAAAAGGG